TGTTCTATTTTTATTTTCACCTCTTGGTCCGGTTCTGTGCGCCCGTTCAATTTTCACATCTTTGATTTCAAGCGTCTCTTCAAATAATTTAAGCACTTTTAACTCACTTTCTTCCCATGTTTCATGCTCGCTTTCTTTTATTCCGTTTATTCTTAAATTGTTTCTCCTAGATCTATCCTCTATCTCCCTTAACTTGTTATTTATTTTGTTCACAGTGCTCTTATCTTTTACTTGGCTGCTAACTTTCTTTGTTTTCTCATTAACTATTTCAAATTTCGATGCAACTATTTCATCATTAACATGGATAAATTTTTTTATATTCATTTAATTCAGTTTCTAAAAGCAATATCTTTTGATTAGACGTTTCTAACGCATTAGTAATTGTAGCAATTTTAGCTGAGTCGTTTAAAATGTCTGATTCAAGTTTATCAAATCTTCCGGTTATTATTTTTATATTCGCAGTCGTAATTGCAGTAAAACTTTTTTCTTGTTCTTTTAGCAACTTTTGAGTCTATTATTGTGTTTTTTTGTTTATCCAATAGTACATTTACCATTAGTTCTATACTCGCCATAGTAAAATCCATTTTTAATTTAAGTTATGTAAATTTAAAGATAATCTTTTTCAAGAAAATAAAAAACGTCCGATCGCTTCCGTATGCTTGCGTAACTCCGTCAATAATCAAACAGTATATCACACACATTAACGCAGTTTCCAAATCACACACATTAACGCAGTTTAAAAGTAGTCTAAATGTTTAACCAGTGATTTCGCTTCATGAACAGCTGGTGGTGGTTGTTGTTTGCTGTTAGTGACAGAATGCTTCACGAATTTGTAAGTAATTTGCATAGAAAGCTCTTGTGGCATCACTTCTAGAGGACCACCTAGTTTCTGGTAAGCTTTGTAAGACAAATACGTTTTCTTTAAGAAGTTCTTTATGAGTTGACCATCTCTTCGTTGAAGCTGAGAAAAAATTATAAACTGACTGTATGACACCAAAATAATTTACAGCTGCTGAACAACACTCCACGGCAGCTGAACCAACTAAGTTTAGGCTGTGGGCAGCACATGGAACCCATTTTGCTAAATGATTAATCTCTCTGAATCTAGCTTGCACATCAGAATATATTCCACTTATATTGCTGGCATTATCATAAGATTGTGATTGGCAGTTTTTGATGTCTATTCCATGAAACTGAAGAACACCAACCACAAGATTAAATATGTATTCTCCATCATGGTATTCAATTGGAATAAATTGAAGAAATCGTTCTACTACATTTCCGTCTTTGAGTACATAGCAAATAATAAGTGTGAACTGATCTACATGACTAATGTCAGGGGTTGAATCGATGCTAATTCCATAATATTTAGCATCCGTGATTTCAGAAATTATAATAATATATTAATGAATTCATTTGAGATTTCTGAGAATTTCATTTTTAAATAAATGTAAACTATTGATAAATTTAAACAAACATTTAAAACAAATAACAAACCATAGATTGAACCATAAAACATTTACAAAAACGTAATCATAACAAATAAAATACCTACCAAATAAAATCGTACTTTTTAAAATATAACGTGGAATTCTGAGAATTTCATTTTTAAATAAATGTAAACTATCGATAAATTTAAACAAACGTTTAAAACAAATAACAAACCATAGATTGCTGAATTTTTAATGGTTTTTCATGATCATAACAAAAGTAATGATAGTAAGAGAAATGCAATAAATGAAATGGTTACAATTTAATTTCTTTAAGGCATAACATGTGTACAGATACAGAATAATCAAACAAACAGCGACTGTAGGCCCATTAACAACTACGTACAAAAATTAAAAAATAATGTAAATTGAATAACGTGTACATGATATTTATATTGAAAGAAAGGCCTACAGCTACATTTTTATGCAAAGTGCCTAGAGTCTACGACGCTCCAAAAACGGCCCTGGGTACCTCCTCCGTAAATCTTCTTCCTCCTTGAAAATCACCTTCATATATATATATATATATATATATATATATATATATATATATATATATATATATATATATATATAAATTAGTAAAAATACTTATTTAAATATTTTCTTTGACATTTTTGCTAGAAAAATGCGTTTTTGAAATTAAAATTAATTTGTGATAACTAAACCGCCTGATACAAGGTGACATTAGGGTTTAAAAGGGGATGTTTAAATTATAAAAGAAACATAAAATACAAAAAATATAAATATTATTAGTTGTTTTTTACTTCGAAAAGGCTTTTTTACTTTGTAAAGAATTCAATATATAAACTTTTATCGAAACTTTAGTTTGATTAAAACTTTTATTATATCCTGATTTTTTATTATAACCTTAATCTAATAACTGTACTTATTCTTACCATAAGACTGTTCAGCCATGGAACAGTGGTATTAGTTTTTGCGCAGAACCAAGAAGTCCTAGGTTTGACGCCAGCTCCTGCCCAATAAACAGCATTATTTAGGAAGCGAAGGCGTAAACTCCCTAGTTAAAAACTCTTCCACGGTGCTCTGTGATAAGACCGTAAGGACTTCTGGGTCTGTTCTGAAGACTGTTACATTGTTTTCCATTACTACACAACCAGTTTTCAGTTTCTCGCTTTTTTTTATATTTGGTATTGAATTTTATTTTTAGAAAATGATGTTTATTACTCATCTAATATATAGACAGTATATTATCTTCAAAAAGTATACTGTCTGTATATTAAATGGCGATAAAGCTTTTGTACTATTCTCAAACTATTGAAACAGTATTGTAAATAGTATCTTGTCGGGGGTTTGAAACTCCCTAGTTGTCATTTACAGTATTATAGAAACTTTTTACCGGTCTTAAAATAGTTCTATTCAATTGCTACAGGTTTTCGTTGAAATGGGGAAGATATATAGGATTGCAAGATCTAAAACTCCAATGAAATATGACTTTTATGGCTGTCTTAAAGTAACAAGTGTCTAAATTTATCCAACCTAAAAAATTTTTATTATCAAGTTTGAAGAAAAGAATAACATTCAATTACCCTTACTGGTAATCAATAGTAACTTCAAGATTTAAAGAGAGCAGCTTAAATTATAATAAATATACTAATAATTTATTATAATAAATATGATAATAATTATAATAAACTAATAAAAAATACAAAAATAAATATCCTGGTAATAGAATCTAATTCGGGACACATGCTGAAAAAGTGACAACCACACTCAATTTATGGGATTAATTTTTTGGATATGTGGCTATGGTATTTATAACACTTAGGTGGTAATCATATATAAACTACATTTGACTATAATACTAATACTACTAAAATATTTTAATTTTGTGTAAATACCATTTTTAATATTTTAAACATTTTAAATTTTGAAATATGTGCCTTGCAAGCAAGATTTTGTACTCCCTCTTGAATTTGACCCTGGTCCTAATGGAGACAGACTTTTTTTTGATCTCTTTAAAAAAATCTTGAACCCATCTTTGTGTTGATATGAAACTCCTGCTCCAAAATTAAAAATGTGTCCAAAATATTCACCATTTTTTTAACACTTTGTTAAAAAAATGTGCATGATTTATAAAAATTATACAATTCTTTTATAACGAAGTATTGAAAATTTTATCAACTAATTTTACTTACAGCTTTTACTTGAGTAAAATAACACCAATGAAATGACGTAAAACAACACCATAGAAATGACGTGAAACAACACCAATGAAATGATGCACAATTGACTAAGTGTATTTCTAACTGGACAAAAGTAATAACTTTAAAAGTACTTATCAGATTTTGCTCATAATTACCAGTTAAATATTTTTCATGTTACGAATCTAGCAACACTTTTGGATTGTTATTTTCGTTGCTTGATTCGTTGTATGAAAATTACTGAAACTTATTTAGGGGCAATTTAAATGCATACCAACAGTGCATTTTGCATAGTTGTCGTGCGTAAAAAACTACATTGAAACGCCAGTTAACTGTATTAATATTAATGCTACAGGCAAATTGAGTTTATTTTATGCATTTAAATGATTACACATACAAACTTTCCTAATTTTTTTATGTTGTTTAAGCTTTTAGAAACTAGTTTTTTTTCTTCTTAAAATCAGTTATTAACCTCTGTTATCAATATTTTTCTTTTGAAACCAGATGTTTTGTTTTTTAACAAATGCAGTTTTTTGAAACTAGAGGATAATTCAAAAAAAATTAAAAAAAAAAAAAATTTAGCCTTCGAAATAAAATAATATTTGTTAAGGGTTTATAGCAATAGTTAAGTTTTAATTGTAGCTCCCCTACTTCTATGTAGCTCACCTACTTCTATGTAGCTCCCCAACTTCTATATAGCTCACCTACTTCTATGTAGCTCACCTACTTCTATGTAGCTCCCCTACTTCTATGTAGCTCGCCTACTTCTATGTAGTTTGCCTACTTCTATGTAGTTCACCTACTTCTATGTAGCTCACCTACTTCTATGTAGCTCACCTACTTCTCTGTAGCTCACCTACTTCTATGTAGCTCACCTACTTCTATGTAGCTCACCTACTTCTATGTAGTCCACCTATTTCTATGTAGCTCACCTACTTCTATCGACTAAATAAAAGTTAATGATTTCATACAATTAGTTAGAGAATACTTCCTAAAGCGTATATTGAATTAGGAGTACAAATAAACTTAAATATTTAGAAGAAACGTTAAGATAAATACAAAATACTAATAAACTAAACACCATCTTTAACACCAAAATATCAAAAACATGCAATTGCAATTTACAATTAGTTTCACAGGTACTTCTTAAAGTGGCTAAAGAACACCTTTCAGATCTTAAGAGATGGGTTTTTCGGATTGATTATCAAAAGATCAGAAGTACACTATAATTGTTCTAACAAATCTTTATAAACTTTTGGAACGCAAGCACTTTCTAAAAAACGATTTGCGAAACTTCTTAAACTCCTTCCATTTTTATGACGATAGCAAGATTTTAATTAAATATAAAAATATTTTTGTAAAAATTAAAACTAAAATTGAAAATATTCTTATGAAAACTTGCAGACGGACCACTGACAATATAAAATACGCCGGTCATACACCTGTATAAATTAAAAACAAACTATTTCCAAAATGGCATCCTTGCTAGGTCGTTCTTTTGGAAAATTGGAAAAAGCATTTCCTTCTTTGCAAACTTTTCTTATATCTGCTAACATACGGGTAATCTTTAATAATTATTTATAATTAATCTTTAATCATTTAAATAAATTGAAATAATATATTCTCCTAAAGAATACAAAATTCAAAAAATTAAAATAAATTATAAATGTAATGAGTAACAACAAAATTATTACACGAAGGTTTTCTCGCGTCTCATTCATTTCATAAACAAAAATTGTTCTATTAATTGCTATCTGATAGTTTTTTTTTTTTTATGTATCAATATAAAGGATAATCTATCTATTTAACATGTTAAAATAAATCTTTTTTATGATTCATATGACTCTTAATATCTTTATGATCACAACATGAAATCACAATTTGATGCATAAAGTCTCCATCATGAAATTTATAATTTATTCAAGTTTAATTTTTTTTTTAGTTATTTAAATTTTAAACCTTTTAAATCAAGAACTTTCATTTGATTTAAATCATATCTGCCTAATTTTAACATGTAAAAAAGGGATTTTTCATAAAACCAGTCTTACAAGTTTTATTAAAATCTCAAGGCTTTTATATATTGAAGATGGTTTCAATTAAGGTTTATAAAACCATTCTTACAAATTAACTGTAAATTTCTGCTTGGGAATCATAATATCAATAAATATCAGTTAAAGTATGAGAGAGTTTTATTGTTTACTATGTGCAAAATCTTAGCCATTACTTTTTTCTAGTTTTAAATGCGCTAATATATTCTATTTTGTTTTTAAGTCACTTTCACTATTTTCAACAAAAGACTACCAGTATAAAAATGAATTTGCTTTACGAATACAACATAGAAAACTTTCTGTTCATGAATACATTGCTATTGATATGCTTCGCAAAGCAGATATAAAGGTTCCAAGAGGAGATGTGGCACGAACTCAAGAAGAAGCTTTAAATGTTGCAAAAAGTATAGGTAGGTATATTGTTATTTTTTAAAAACTAGTTAGAAACAAATACAATTTTAATTATCTTTTTTAGTGTTAAATAATGAAAAAGTTTGAGCTTTTTACAATTATATTTGAAGCAATTATTTATTAAAAGATCTGTAACCCATGAAGCATGTTATAAGGGCTTTGATTCATAACATATTAAAAAAAATTGTCCTAATTTAACAAGGTTCTACAATATTTGTTGCTAAATATTTAGATGCTGGAATATATTAAAATAAAATAAATCCAATGAAATAAATAGTGTGAACATAAAATTTATATTAATTTGTTTTTATTGTTAGGTACACATGATTTTGTTATTAAAGCTCAAGTACTCGCTGGTGGTAGAGGGAAAGGTCATTTTGATAGTGGATTAAAGGGAGGTGTTAAAATCGCATACTCGTAAGTTGTTTTAAAAATTGTTTTATTAATTTTAATGTTTTTATTATAAATTACTAAAGTTGTTACTATTTACTTTATTTACTATATTATTTTTTATTTTTGAAGTCCTAAAATACAATATAAAAGCCATTAAACAACTTAAAAAATCTCCACAAAGTACAAAAGATAAAAGAACATTTTTAAAAGACTTAATGTGTATTAAAAAATCATTATGCATAGTTACCTTGAGGAAATTTTAAAAGATAAAATGTTTTTTTGTATGTATATATTTTTTTTGTATTTCTGTAGCTATTGTACCGATTCATATATCATGTGTATACTCTCAGCCAAAGCAGTTCTGAATTTTGTCCAGAAATTCTAGAAATACAGCTTTAATTTGGAATTTATAATTAAAAGAATTGGAACCGATGTAAAATGTCTAATATGTATTAAGTTTTTGAAAACTGGATGTGGTCCTGGCCATTCCATTTTTGAGGTTTAATAAGTTAAAAAACTACAAAATAATTTAGCCATGGTGTAGTGATCAAAGTCCTGACTTTGAAATTAAAAGTTCTAAAAATTTATGGCCTTATGAAATTTATGGTCCAGTACCAGCTCTGGTCATAAATGATTGCGGAACGCACCAGAAACATTTTAATTAAATTTTATTTTATGGTATTTTATTACATGATCATTTGGTTTTCATTGATTACCAAAAAAAGAGGAAATCTTACTATGCTAAACTTACTAAAGTTTCCATAATTGCTACCAAAACCTAAATTAACTCTAATAAGAAATGATGCTGGAAGAAGATATTTTATTCCTTATTTACCCTAAAGAGGATTAAAAACTTAAATTTAATTGTGATTTTTTAAACATGATATAATGGTAGAATTCAGAAAGATCACTTCAAATTTCTCAAATTGTGAATCATGTTTGCTGTAAATTTTTTATATTGTTTTCAGAGCAAAAGAAGTTGCTGAAATTGCAGATAAAATGCTTGGACAAAAGTTATACACTTTGCAAACAGGAAGTGATGGAAGACCTTGCAACGAGGTTAAGCTTTTAATATTTGCAAAAATATGCAAGTAACTTAAAAGTATGCAACTAACTTTTTTATTTAGTTATCGTTTAGTCATATTTTTTTTATTAAAAATTTTCTTTTTATCTTATAAAAATTCCTAAAATCTCCTAGGTATAATTACTATATTATATAAAATTACTAGAGGAATAAAACCATAAATTTGTTTGTACAGTGTGTACATACATACATAGGGTGTTACTGAAAGTATTGTGATTCCTAAATTTGATTAAAAATTAAAAATGCAAAACAGTGTAGATTATAATTTCATAACATCTCTACATAGTAATGTAAATTACTATGTAGAGATGTTATGAAATTTTTGTTTTGCTTTTGGTTTTATGAATTTATATTTTTAACATTTGACACAAACTTTTTTTTTTTTATCTATAACTAAATATATGAAAATATGGTAATATTTGATTTTGTTTTATTTCTTAAATTTGTATTTATGGTTTTGCAACTAACCATTGTTTTTTATATTTAAAAATTCCGCAAGTAATATATTTAAAATTTAAGCCTTAAAGTTGTTTATCAATGATTTAGTTGCGACTAGAAAAGGTTTGTTTAGGTTTGCAAGTACACTTGATTAAAAATATTTCTTTAAAAATGGCTGATGCTTCATTTTGTTTTGAAAAAGGTTTAACAAAAATTTAATGTATTTTTTATTTTTTGATGAATTATGAAAAAAAGTTTCATGTGTTTAAAAAGATTTTTTTTTCTACCTAAATGAAATAAAAAATGGAAATAAAATCCTAAATGAGCAAAATTTGACTCAAATAATATACTTTGTTGAATAAATAATATAGTTTAATTTTTGAACAAAATCCAATAACTGATGCGTGTTATTAAAAATCAAAGTCAATCAACTTAACTCAGTATTTACTTTAATTTTATTTTCTATTTTTACCTAAATGTGCCTATATGCTATGCATTTTTGTTTGACAGTTTTTTAGTTGACAAAGGTTGTCTGTTATTGTCTGAAAGTTCAGCATTCTTTTAGCACCTAAAATAATGGACAATCGACCATCAATGATTAGTTGTATATAGAAAAAAAATTTTTAATTTTTCAAAATCAATTTGTATTGATCATATTAGATTGGTGTATTTTTTATAATAAATATTAATCTATTTAAAAAATAGAAAGTTAAAATTATCTTAACACCATAATCAGTCTTCTCTGTTTAACGATCGCTTTCGCGCTCTTGCAGTTTTGCGCTCGACCTCACGCCCGCCAAAACTATGGCTGGTGCAATTTTAAGCGTTCGCGAAAAAATTTCAAGCATGTTTTTAAATTGCAAAAAATCTTTTTTCTAAATCAAATTCTAAATAAAGAGGTACAAAAAACAATTATTTTTTAAAATCACGCACGCCAGACAAATAATTAAAGTCCGGCCAGCGCTTTTTTGTGCGCTGGCGGTAAATTTCAAACAGAGTAGACTGCATAATTACTTTTAGTAAAAAAAGCAAAAATACTGAATATTTTTGATTCAGATCAAACATTCCGAATAAAAACGCCAATTAAAAAAAATATATATTCAATTAAAAAAACGTTTTTCAAAAATACCAAACGTTTTTCAAAAATACCAAACAGTACAATAAATATATAAAAATAGCTATAACAAACTTTAGTTTGAAAAATAAGTGAAAGTAAATAATAAGAAATATAGCTAAAATATCTTTTCTGGGAAAAATATTGTTTTGAGAATTTAAATAAAATAAAAAAAAAGTTTTTGTTTTAATAATTTTAGTTTTTTTAAATAAAAATTGTTTTATGCAAAAATGACTGACAACTACTTATTGTAAAAACAACAGATAACTATTTCTTGTAAAAGGCAGTATCTAAACCACTGGCCAAGAGAAAGGAAAAAAATAATTTACAATTTTAAACAACTAACAAATGGATAGATTCTATGATTGCATAATGCAATGCAAATGATTGGCTTAATTAAAAATGTTGATTAACTAGTTACTGTCCTAAAATGTCAAAAATATGCTTCTCAATTTCAGATTTTAAAAGGCAACAAAGTGGTAGAAAAGGATGCAGTTCTGCAATCATGTGCAGAGAGAATGTCACATTAGATTTTGTGAAGAAAAAAAAGATTTGAGATATTGACTTGAAAAACAAAATAACTTAAAATTAAGTTGAAAAACACAAAGTATAGCTAACAGAAATTTTATTAATTCAGCTAACAAACATTCTGTTAGTATTTAAACCATAAATAGTAAAGATCTGGATATAAGAAGTAGAAAAGAAAGTGAGGTTGCTAACTTTATAGCAAAAGAAAAACTTTCGCTTTGTCTATATCCAAACCGAATTCATATAGAAGAAAAGCATGGTGTAATTTTCGGTCAAGTTTACAGAAGCAAAAATATTTGCAGATAAAATAAAAAATTGATTACATATGATGACACATCACCTACATTGATTATATTAACTATGATTTTAACTTAGACTATTATCATAAATATATAAATAGTCAAAGCATTTCATCATTTTAATTGAATGCAATTAAAATTATATATATATATATATATATATATATATATATATATATATATATATATATATATATATATATATATATATATATATATATATATATATATGTATATATCTATGTATGTATATGTATATCTATATAAGTGGGGGTATAACCGCCCCCGTAATATTTGGATTAGTGTTAAATGAAAATAAAAATGACATGTATTTTTTTTAATAGTTAATTTCAATAACCACATCATTAAGCTTTAAATTGATGCAATTAAGAAAAAAATTAAACAGTTTTTGAAAATGTTATTACACAAAAATTATGCTTTGTGAAAAATCGGTTTTACCCCCATCGTGAGGCACAACCACACCCTCACAAAAATCGTTGGGGGTACACTTCTTAGTACATGTTCTTTACAATTGTCACAGCTCAGAATATTTGCTGGTTTTGTTGCAGATTTGCATATTGTGTAGGCATTCTTTGTACTTACAGTCTATTTTTTCTCATTTGATGTATTCTTAGCTTTATATTTTATTCAAAAACTCATTTAGAAAGGTTAAATTAAAAAAAATGAAATCTAATTTCCAATATCTCAAAACAATTCTATTTTTATTCAAGTTTTTACATGAAGGCATTTAAGAGTGACGATTGTAATTATTGTTATTCGTAATTACCTAACTTTGATAAATATTAAAAGTATGCAGTTGTGCCTCCTGTGCGTCTATGCGGTTCTGTCCCAGAGGACAGTTTTTAGAAAGAATACAGTTTCATAGTTTGCTTATTAGGTTATGTTGATATCAAAAATGGTTTTCACTTGACGAAATAATGCTGCTAACATATATCTTTAACACTAAAATTAAATATTGCTTAATCCTCAAAAAAAAAGGTCTGGAAAAATATATATGTAAATATAATATTTTTATCAAAATAAACATTATTATGCACAACTTTTCAGAAATGTAGCAGGCATTCTTTTTGACATAAGCGAAATGAGTGAAACTGTTTTACTAACGCTTGGTATGTTTTTTGTCATATTAACACCTTGTAAATAAAATTTTGGACAAAATTTAAAAATTAATATTTTAAGAACTATTAAATTTTATTATTTAATATTTCAACTGTTAATATGTTAGTATATGTAGTTTATAAATATATTAAAATAATTATTTCAAATACTGTATTTAGTAATATTATAAAGTTTTTTCGAAAGATATTTTATTTAAGTAAGGAAAATTTCTTTATTCATCTTTGAATAACAATATCTAATTCTTGCTTCAAGCTCTTCCAAATTCTCAGCTCTCCAATTATCCTTGTACACTAGCCCTTTTAAATCACCCCAAAAGTTTTCAATTGGTCTTGCTTCTGGAACGTTAACTGGGTTTATATCTTTAGGTACAACTTTAATTTTTTTCAATTTTAAAAAGTTGATGATCGACTTTGCGTAATGCGATCAAGCTAGATCAGGCCAGAAGATAAACTCATTGTCTTTTTTATAATATTCTGATACTAGAAGAAGTAAAGTTTTTTCTTGTATCTCTTTATAAGTGTACTGGTTAATTGCCTGCTTACTGTGATGAATATAAAGAGGGCTTATTCCACGGGGGCTGATGCAACAAGAAACTAAAAGCTTGTCCTCGTATTTTTTACGCAAATTGTAATTTGCGTAAAAATCTAACTTTGTCAGAACATTGAGAAGGATCAGCGGCATAAAACCTATCATTACCAGCTAATGTGCTATTGTTTAAGGTAAAATAGCTTTCATCGTACATAACAAAATCCAAGTTTTTATAATTTTTATACAATTTTCAACATTTAGGACGCATAGCTTTCTTCTGCTGATTGCTACGATCTGGACGATTTGTTTTTTTGAAAGTTCAAATGTTAGTCATTGTTTTTAAAAACTTGAGCTACTTACTTTGGGAGCACCCTGACTTATTTTCAAAAAATGCAGCAATCTTTGGAATATTTTCTTTAGTAGCTACCTTAATGATTCGACCACTTCCAACTTTTCTTTTTAGAATTAAATTTAAATAGATTATAAAATCCTCTTTCACATAAGTATAAAGGTTTTTTGATTGCATGAAATAAATTACATAATAAATGCAATTAAAATTTGTCCGAAATTTTATTTATAGGGTGTTAGATAACATTTTTCAAAGAGAAATGTTAAAAAACAATTGTGCCTCCATATGTGGATTAAATGTAAAACGCACGCTTTGATTGGATTAAAATATGAATTGCTTAGAATTTTTAAATAACATTTTAAAAATACATTAATTTGAGTTTCTCCTCCGCTTACATATTCATAAAATAATTTTTAAAGCGATTAAACTAGATGAGCTTTAAACTTTTTCATTTCAAATAACAGTAAAAATTGTATTACTTGAAATAATAAAACGAATAAAAGTTTTTAAAACATAAAATAACATTTATTTAAATAATTAAAATAACATTTTAGTATTCGCGCCAAAAAACTTGATTTGAATAGTAAGAGTAGAACTAGAAAAAAAAGTTATTAATTTTTGAATGATGTAATTAAAATTTCGAATGAATTAACCTTGTTTTAAATACGCTATGTAATAAATCTTATCAAATTTATATCAAAGAGTCATACAAATATTGTTTATTAAACGTTATAGTTATTGCTTGTTTATGAAATCATACTCTTTATATTTTTAGTTAATAATATTTATTATTTTGAATTTAATAATTTAATAATTAGTGTTAATTATAATTTATAAAAAGTAAGTGAATGGAGCAAGTAAATGAAAAGTAGCGATTAGCGAATAATCGATGTTGGAGTTAAAGCAGTCGTTCTGTAATAAATGTAACATTATTTTAGTTAATTATTTAAATTTTTCTTAGAAAAAATTTATAAGACAAGGGTGAGTTATATATTATATACTAATAATGGTATTTAAATTTGAGTAAAAAGAAAAAAAAAAAAAAAAAGGTCCTTTAAGGTTGACAGGATTTTTAGACCGGTATGCCCAAATTATTTCTGGATACGTCACTGATATATATATATATATATATATATATATATATATATATATATATATATATATATATATATATATATATATATATATATATAAATGTATATGTATATGTATGTATATATATGTACATGTATATATATATATATATATATATATATATATATATATATATATATATATATAAAAATGTATATGTATGTATATATATGTATATGTATGTATATTTATAGTATTAAGTTATTTTTATATTGTATTAGCTTAATGCTTTTTTAAAAAAGAATTTATTAAATAGGTTTTAATAGTTGAAAGGTTATATCCCCGGCGTGAATATTATGTTGCTATAACTCTTGATAGAAAAGCAAAGGTTAGTTATAAAATACATATTTTAATTTTGAAATTTTTGTATAATTTAGACTATTATGTTATAAAATGATTATTCTTAATGAGCAAAAAAGAACCTGTAAAATGAGACTCAAGTTGTGTCAACTCTATTTAATATATATGATTATATATATTTAATTATTATGTGTTATTAAATTTATGCTAACTCTATTTGGTATGCGGTAGTGGTGTAGTGGTAGAGCGCTCGCTTCATAAACGAGTGGTTCGGAGTTCGATCCTCACCACGTCCCTGGTAGTACTGCGCTTAACTCGTTTCTCCGCGCAGCGGCCTTGTTCATCAAGGTTCGTGTTTCGGAGTTATAGAGTTGAGAGAGGGTTATAGCCACAAATAAGTAGCCTCCTCGTCTGTAGTGGCCTTCTCGGCCTTGAGGAGGTGAATTAAAATTTAAAAAAAAAAAAAAAATTGTTTGACTTTTCTTGTAACATTTTTCTGAATAAACAAAGTAATATACAATAGTCAACAAAAAAGGTTTACTTATGTGAAATTCTGTATGTGAGAACTGATAATAATGGGTTTAGATTATTTTTTGATTTTTAATTAATTTTATGTTGACTTATAATTATATAAATTAAAGCAACTTAAAAGTTGTTAAAATTATAACAACTTGAATTATAACAATATTTAAATAGCTTTTAGTAAATAGTATGAAAATTATTATTTTATTACGTCTCTTTTACTTGGCTTTTAAAAATGGCTAAATTTCTGATTAATGATGATTGTCTCAGCATTTCAAAATGATCAACATTAAAGACTTCTTAAATCAGTTATAACAGCAGTTATAACTGATTTAAGAATTTTTTTCAGAGTTCTACCTAAAAATGACTCACATTTTTTAAAAGTCTGCTCATTTTTAATTCTTTTAATAAAGCAGTTAGTACCAGGTACTTTTTTTTTTTTTACAATAGTACCAGGTTTTTTTTTAGCAGGAATCTCGTAAAGGGGATAAGCTCCACTTTAAACACTATTATTTTCAAAGTTATTATTATAGATAAAGTTTTATTATTTGTTATATGTTTTTTTTCAAATGTCTCCCTCTCAATCCCAAGTCTCTGAATCATTGTTCTTGTTGTGCAAAACCATCTCATTAAGATAAGCTGTCACTTTTTCCCTATATTAAAGCAAACCAGAAGATGTCACTATAGCAATTCAGAAGATGTCACAATAAAAACCCAGAAGATGTCCATCACTTGATAACTGACTCCTAAAGTTTAAGATTGCTTTTTAAGAAAATAAAATCTTGTTTCAACTTACAATAAAATAAAATCTTGTTTCAACTTAACAAAGAAAGAAAAAAACTTTTGTTTCAACTTAAAAGAATAAAATGTCTTGTTTTTCAACTTGAAAGAAAATTAAGTTTTTCCTCCTGTAGTTTTGCCACAGACTTGTAGAAGTCTGTGGCAAGTAAAACTTGTAGAAATTTAAAAATCAGCTTAAAAGCATATTAAGTCAATTAAAAATATTATCAGCTTAAAAGCATATTAAGTCATTTAAAAATATTATCAGCTTAAAAGCGTATTAAGTTAATATTATCATTTATGTCAAAAGCTTTTATAAAATAAAAGTTTAAAACTTTTTTCACTAAACTTTTTTACAAAAATTTTTTTACTAATGTTTTTTACCTTGACCACACGAGTTGTTGATATATATATATATATATATATATATATTATATAAATATTAATTATAGTATGGAAAATAGTTATTGCTCCCTAGTTCTTTTAGTGAATTTAATAATTTTTAATTTAAATAATTTGGCTGTTAAATTAGGATTTTGAGCCAAATATTTATTATTCTTTTTTTGAATCTAGCATCTTGAAGCTCTAAAAATGTTTGAAGCTTTAAAAATCTTGAAAGCTCTAAAAATCTCGAAGCTATAAAAATCTAGCATCTTGAAGCTCTAAAAAAACTTCAAAACTTCATAGAGAAAAGACTAAAGGCCAGATTTCTTATGTAGAATAGAGAATTTAGTCCAAATATTGGTCTCTGGTTTAAAAAATGATAGATTCTTATCTTTTTTTGTTTATATAAATTCTTTAAACATTTTTGTCTTAAAGAAAACAAAGTTCTCTTAAAGACAAATCCTGGTCAAGATAGGGAATAAATCTTAAAGTCTATTGTTAGACTTTAAGATTTATAAATCTGATTCCCATATAGTTTGTTGCCTATTTCATATTTTTCAATTTTATATTAAATTTTTTTTACAAGTTTTTATAATTTGTAACAATGGTGTTTTGGTAGGGTCCATTACTAATTGCAAGCTCTCAAGGTGGTATGAGTATAGAAGATGTGGCTAGAGAAAATCCTGATGCCATCATTAAACATCCTATTGATATCTTTGAAGGTTGTTTAACTTTTTTTTTTTAAGCAGCTTGTTATTGTTTCTTTTGTATTAAAATCAATTTCAATTTTATTTGTTTAAAAAATTATTTGAGTAAATTTATTATATAAATGAAATAGAGTTATTATATAAATGAAATAATTAAGAATATAAAAAAAGATTAACTAAAGTTATGATAGAAATTATAGTAGTTTTGTATACATACATACATACATACATACATACATACATACATACATACATACATACATACATACATACATACATACATACATACATACATAAATATATGTATATATGTATGTATGTATGTATATATGTATGTATGTATGTATGTATGTATGTATGTATGTATATATTAATTTTTTTATATATACATTTTAAATTATTTTAATATAACTTAATCTATTTTTTTAAAAAAGATATTGATAACTTTTTAACAGACTAGAGTGGTATTTCTAACAGTATACTTATCAATAAATAGTTGCATTGAACCACCTTTTCTTAAACTTAATTGACTTGCATTTTCCATTGCATCATAAGCTTCACAAAATTTTCAACAGAAATACAGTACAAGTTGGTTACAGCTGCATGCCAAATTTCAATCTATTTTCAATTCGCGCAACCAACAAATTTTGCGCAGCAAACTCGCCGCTAATGTTTAAATTTTAACTGCAATAACAAAACCACTTTAAATGTCTATAAAAAAATGTTGCATATAAAGCCACTTTAGCATCATCTAATATGCTAAAGTGGCTTTATAGAAAAATCTTACATTGGTATTATAGAAAAATCTTACATTGGTATTAGTGAAAACGCATTCAAGCATAGGTTACAAATCACCTTAAATCCTTTAAATCAACCAGGTACAGAAATGATACAGAACTTTCCTAAGAAATCTGGAAACATAAAGATGCAGGTAAAATGCCTATAATTAAGTGGAACATAATTAAAAGATGCCAATCTTATAACCCATCTACAAAAAAGTGTAATTTTTGTATTCATGCAAAATAATTTATTATAACTTTTGATAATGGATACTTAACTAAAAAAAATGAATTGGTTTCTGCTTGTAAACATAGGGAAAAAATTTTACTATTCCACTTTGATACCGGCAATTAGCAAATATATTGGATCAGGTATATTTGACATCAGATGTCGTTGTAACACTAAACTTGAATTTAAATATAAATTAAAACGGTTTTTATTTTATACTTATGATTAATATGGCTGATGGTTGCCAAAAGACATGAAACTTTAAGTTCCATTATACAGTTCTATTTTTTCATTTAAATTATATATATATATATATATATATATATATATATATATATATATATATATATATATATATATATATATATATATATATATATATATATATATATATATATATATATATATATATATATATATATATATATATATATATATATATATATATATATATATATATATAGGTTTAAGTTATACTGCAGCATTGGCTATTGCAGCTCGATTAGGGTTCACAAATGGTTCTGCCAATGAGTGTGCTGAAATTCTATTGAAATTATACAAATTATTTATTGAAAAAGACTGTACATTATTAGAAATCAATCCTTTTGCAGAGCTTTCAAATGGAGATGGTAATTGTTTCTTTTTGTCTTGTGAAATTTTTGCTTTAAAATCTAAACAAAAACAAAAAAACTAAGTTTTCTTTATCTTATTGTATATATATATATATATATATATATATATATATATATATATATATATATATATATATATATATATATATATATATATATATATATATATATATATATATATATATATATATTAGAGTGCCTCTAAAAACAACTTTTTTTGAAATTGTCTGCTGCCACCCCCTAAATGTGTTTTATGTAATAAATTAATACTAAATTTTAAAAAATTTTGACTAAAAGAAAATTTTAGGGGTTGCTCAAGACCCTTAAACATTAAACAAGTTAGGGACTTAATTATTTTAAATTTAGGGACTTTATTATTTTAAAATTTTTATAAAATTTCACTTCTTTTGAGACCCAACATGATATACTTTTGAAAAACTTTTTTTTTCAAAATATTATGGACCTGTTTGATGTTTAAGGGTCTTGAGCGACCTCTAAAATTTTTTTTTTATTCAAAATTCTTTTTAGTTCAATTAGTGTTAATTTATTACATAGAACACATTTAGGGGGTGGCAGCAGACAATTTCAAAAAAAGTTGTTTTTAGTGGCACTCTAATATATATATATATATATATATATATATATATATATATATATATATATATATATATATATATATATATATATATATATATATATATATATATATATATATATATATATATATATATATATATATAATTTTTTATTTACACTATTTTAAGTATTGTGTATGGATTGTAAGTTGACTTTTGATGACAATGCATTATTTCGACACAAAGAATTGATAGCTTTAAAAGATTGGACGCAAGATGATCATAGGGAAGTTGAAGCATCACGCTACAACCTCAACTACATTGGTCTTGAAGGATCTATTGGATGTTTAGGTACATACAGTTTGTAGTAATAATAAAGGGCTTCAGTTTAATGGAATCTTTTTGAATTATTTTACAATTGTAAGACAGTTTATTTAAATCTTTTCTTAAGTTAATGGAGCAGGTTTAGCAATGGCTACCATGGATATCATTAAATTAAATGGAGGGGCGCCAGCAAATTTTTTAGACGTTGGTGGAGGTGCAACTGCAGAAGCAGTTACAGCTGCATTTCGCATTATAAGCTCAGATAGGCGAGTAAGTTTCACAGTTTTTTTTGGAAATATTTTTAACTCTCCTTTTTTTTATTTAAAATTAAAAATCAATTCATTTAAAAAAAATTGATTTCATTATGTAATATTCAGTTTATTAATTTATTACTAATTTTTTTTATATTTCTACTTTGTTTTTATAATTCTCTTTCAGTTTTTCATTATACTTTGTTTAGTCATTATTAGATAGTGAAGAAAAAATATTTTCACAAAAATATTTTGTGAAAACTAAAGAAAGCACTAACAAGCAAACTTTTACATAAAAAAATACATGTGTTTTCAATCTTTTGCAAAGGTTAATTAAGTTGAGTTTTTAGGTTATGAATTTTTAACATTTCTTTTTTTTTTTTGTAAAAAGTTTTCAAATATTAAAATACTTGATTTTTTTTTATTAATTTAAACATTACATTTTTGAAAAAAAGCATGCCAAAAATGCCTTAATCTTTGTTTGCCTTATTATTGCTGTACTATCTGAACCCCATACTTTTTTTTTTGCGTGTGTTGAAAAAAACACGTACTTTTTAAACATTTAAAAAGTTATTTTAAGGTTTATGCCGCCTTTATTGTTTACTTTGTGCTCATAAGATATGTATAATATATAAATAAAAGTCTTTTGGTTATTGTTAGATTATCTACTTAATTCTCATTATCTTTCCAACTGTTACTTATGATTATTAATGAAAAAATTTTTACGCTTATCTAATTGTTGCTTATTTTAGGTAAAAGCTATTCTTGTAAATATATTTGGTGGAATCATGAAATGTGATGTCATAGCTGAAGGCATTATTGAAGCTGCTAAAGCTCTTCATTTGAAAATTCCTTTAGTTGTGCGACTTCAAGGTAGAGTACAAAGTGAAGTATGAAATGTGATCTTAGATACAGTGGGTGGAAAAACACGATGTTTCATTTTCAAAAAATAAAATAGCTATAAGCCTAAACAGTCTTTGTTTTTTATCTTATATATATTTTATATATTTTTTCATATCTGGATTTATTTTATATGATCAACTGTATAAATGCGACTTGACAGTTTAAAATATTTTTAAAAAAAACTATTTTTCAATGGTCATCAAGTTTCAGTTTTTAACTTATTGCGTAAATATACCACACAATAAAAAGTCACAAATAATATGATACAGAGAAAGTAATTCTGAATGTACATAACTTAGCAGTTTATTAATCGAGAAACTTCGTAAAATTGATTTTTTATTAAAGTCATGTTTTTAGGAACAAACGTCGATGATGCGAAGGCTTTAATTGCTAATAGTGGACTTCGTATTTTACCGTGTGATGATTTAGATGATGCTGCGCGAATGGTATGTTATTGTTTTGTTTATCGATGTTATCGTTTTATTTAAGAAATCTTTTAAATTTTCTCTTTTTTTATTATTGGTTATTTTTTAGAATTATTTTGTTATTAGCAGTTTAGCATGTTTTGCATTTTGCATAGGTTGTCAAACTATCAGATATTGTTACCATGGCACAACAAGCAGATGTTCATGTTAATTTTGAACTACCAATATAATTAGTTCAAATTATTTAAAATAATTTTTAACGAATGTTTGTAAATTGTATTTATACAAGTTTGCTACAATTCTGTCTATAATTGGATGGAATTGATTTGTCCATGACTCTTTTGTTTCTAATTAATGTTCAACATATTTAAAACAATGTTTTTAGAAGACCATAGTGCAATTTAGAACAAAAAATTTAGTTATCTCTTTTTCTATTCATAAATAATAATTGGATTCAAATTTAGAATGTTTTGTATACTTGTTTTTATCAGTTAATTTTCTACTAACAGAAAAAAATATTTAAAAAAAAGTGAGTTTAAATATTTATCAACTTTTTGTTTTTTTTTTGTTTTTTTAATGTAAAAATCACTGATACTGTACGATAAAAGTTTGAAGAAAAAGGATTTTTTTTATAAACAGCAATTAAAATCGTGCTAGACTTACTAAAGATTCTTACATAATACAGAATGATGCAATACCAATTACTATTTTCATTAATACATCAATTACTTTTTTTATAGATATGTAAGATAATAAAACCATTTCTAGATAGGGAACATCTTCGCTTAATATTTATCAATTTATTTTATCACTTGTAGATTTAAATCATTTATAGTGTTAAGTATCTTTGACATTATGGGTAGTATCTTGGCATTATGGATAGTATCTTGGCATTATGGGTAGTATCTTAGCTTTAAGTATTAATATTTATCATTACTTAAACTGTTTTTAGCCAATCGGTTAATTCACTTATTAAAAGCAATTCTTAACTGTTGTCTATTTTTGTCATTAGTCATCAAAGAATGTTTCCAAAAAAAAGAATTTACCCTTTTCTACATTTACCCCTAAATCATAGCGGAACCAGAAATTACATCGTGCAGACATTCATTTTCATTTTCTTCATTTTTCCACTAGAAAATAGAAAAAGTATAACTTTTTATTTTATTAGTTTTCAAAACGTTTTGTTAATGTTTCATAAAAATTACAAGCTAAAATAAATACAACTTCAAGTAAAGGTTGTTACTATCAAAAAAGAAAGCGTAGACTCGTAGAAGAATATAAGACCTCGTCGTCAAAAATCGCTACAAAATAACATATCACATATTAGTTTTATATATTTCACGTAGTAATTAGGAAAATTTGTATTTTATAACATTAAAAAAAAACAAGGTGTTTGAATAAAAATGAAAAAAATTTCACAATGATAACACTATGTAACACAATTGTTATTTCTGGGTTCTAAGTGCTAGATTTCAATTGCTTATGTCTAAAGTATGTGAAATAACGACTTCATTAAGCATAAGCTTCGTCTACACGACAATAGCAAAAACTCTTCTTTTTTTTCTTTTTTTTTTTTTGTAAAAATAGAACAATTTTTTTTTTTTTTTCATTTTTCTCATTATGATCAGGTAAAAACAAAAATTGATAAGGAATAGACAAACACAGTTGAAAACCACTTAACAAGGTTCAGAAATATTAAAGTTTTTTAGGTTTACGATTGTATTGTGAAGGGCTACTCTCTCAAAGTAGCCCTCCCCCCCCCCCCCCTTCCTTCATTATGTTTTTATTATACTGTCCTTTGTAACGACGTCCAATATATCTTAATAAAAGCGCCCGCCTTGCTCCTCGGAGTAAGCGCCCATGTTCTCCTTGAATTTGTCGAGATCCGAATCAAGAATATGGACTTTCAGAGACATTCTGCATCCCATTTTAACGTAATTTTTAATGAGAGTCTGCACCAACTCGACATAGTAATCACATAATCTTTGTGATTATGTAGAAAGCCCTGAACAACTGCAACAAAACTGCTTCAAGCTGCTCTCTTCGTCTTGTTCAAGAATTTTTCAAAACCCTTGGATTCAATAATCTTCTTGATCTATGATCCAACTAATATACCAGCTCTGAACTAAGTCCCGGACAGCTTTGAAAAAAGATCTTGAATGTATTGAATTACTGTTGACTGCTTGTCAAGAGCAGGGACAAATAGCTTAATGAGGCCTAAATTGATGTTTAGCGGAGGTTTTATCAGTGGCTCCCAAGGTTTATAATTTAATCGTTCCCGTTATTCTGGTTAGGGAAGTATGGCTTTCTATGCCCAACTTTATCTACGGAATCTTAGTCCATATCTTCAGTATCTGCCTCGCTATCTGACTTGCTGCTGTCTCCTAAAAATTAGTGATGCCGCCTAGGAAGAGTCGGAACAGGCAGATTGGGGCTGTGCGGCATTGGGGCAATAGAAGAAGAAATTCCTGAATCTGTTCCAAAATATGATATCCTTTTCGGTTACTGAGATGGCTGAGGGTGGTTTAAACATTTTTGAATGTCTGCCATTTTACTTGGTAACCATGGCAACAAATAAATTTATTTGAATTATTTAAAATTCTGTTATTTAGTAGTTTCTTAGAATGTATTTGGTTTTTTGTTTAAAAGATTTTTTTATAAATTTTTTTTTGAGGGATAGATCTTAAATCTGTTTATCAGATTACTGAACAAATCGACTTGTTTTTTCTGAATTTAACTCATATATCTGGTATTACATTTTTTCACAGATCTGATATTACATTGTTTACTTTTTAAAACTCAAAAAATTCTTACGAATAGTTGTAAATATTTAAAAATACTGACCACTGAAACAAAATAAACTATTACTAAAGATAATCATTTTATCAACAAATATTCGAGTTTTTTCCAGTTTATAGAGGGTAATAAAGTTATTATCAAATGTCGTAACGAATTAGCTGTCTGCTATTACTCCGCGGCAATTTTAAACTAGTTCTTTGAATTCTTTCTAATATTAGATACACAAGAATAATACTAAAAAATTTTATGGAGAAAATTATTCCAAGAATAATTTTAGTTAGTCTTTTTTTTTACCTTTAATTTGGGTCATAAAAAGCATAAATAAATAATAATATTTTTATCAAAGCTTGACTTTTTTGGTTGTTTATTTTCCATTAAATAACTTAAAAACCATCCCTTTTTGTGATAATGCGTTTGACATGCGAATGTCAAACGCATTATTTGACATATTTATATAGAATGTCGATAATGTACACATTGATCAATACTACATCAACATATTGCAAAAATATAATATAGTTTTAGTTTTTTCCTTAGAAATAGTAAAATATCTTAGGCAATAATTATTTTTGTTTTAATAAAACAAATCACAGTTTTCCTACAAAAGTAATTTATATAGGACGGGTGGCATTAGTAAAAAATAAAACGTTCCGTCTGTCGGCGTGCGGGTCTCAATTATTGACAGAAAGCCTTCGTTTGCGGATGTGCGGGTCACATTTCCATTTTAGAAAACCTAAAAAGGAAGGACCTGCATAATGCATTTGAGGTTTTAGCATATTAAGGTTCCGTTTTAGACCCTAGGGATGGCTCTTTTACTTATTTTAACGTAAATACTTGAATAACTTTTAAGCGTAAATTACATAACTCATATTAAAATATATAAATATTTACATTTAAAAGTAATTCATTTTTTTACATAAATTATATAAAATGTAAAACTTAATTACTTTTAGTTTTTTAAATGAGTTAACTGTTACTTGAAAAAATAATTTATTTTTACAAGTAAAAGTAATTTGCATTTTTACTTTTACTTGAAAATGTAACTTACTTTTAATGGTCGTGTAATGTAATTTACTTTGAAAAGTAATTTTGGTTATAATTATGCAAAAATTTACATCGAAATGTAATTTATCTTTTATATCAGGGTTCATTCTCGAAAACACAATTTTCGAAAAAAAAGTTTTTTTATCGATAACGTTTTATAAAACGTTATCGATAAAAATCGATAATAAAAACTTTTTTTTCGGATTTTGTAAAAACTTTTGAAAACCATCGAATAGCTAAAATAATTTTGAAAACTTAAATTAAATTTTGAAAACTCATTTTGGTTTTGAAAAAAAAAAAGTATTAAATTAATTTCGAAATTTAAGTTGAGCTTCGAAAAGTGAAATTATTTTCGAAATAAAAAAAGTTTTAAAACTTTTTTTTTTTCCGAAATTAAAATGAGTTTTCAAATATTTAGCTAATCGAAATGGTTTTTAAATGATTTTTAAATGATTTAGTTTTTAAAATACTTTTTAACAACGGAAAAGCTTTATCATTGCGATCAGTGACGGATCAAGGATTTTTTGGTGTTTGGGATAGCTAACTTTCAGACATGGAGCAAACTCCAAACATTTGTATGTTTATACTTATGTCAAATAATGATGCTTTACAAAAAATTACAATGATTGGAGGCTGGGAACAAAAAATCTCTTCAACTTCATCCCCAACCCTCACCTCAAACGTGAGAAGCACTAATTTGATAAAATATTTTTTGTACTATCCTCAACTAGATTTATATTCATTGATAAATTTTAAGTTTCATAGTATTATCTCTAAGTGTTCAAAAACTATGACCATATAAAACTTGAGGGGGTTACAAATGAGAATTTTTTTGTCATAATAAAAATTAGGACAATTTTTACAAACAATTCAAAATCTTCTACTCCTTTTACTAATTTTTTCGCCAAGCACACTAATTGAATCTAAATCATCCACGTCTCTTGTTATAATGCATCAGATTGTTTTTTGAAAAAAATATTGTCGATTTAGGCAAGTACGCAATAACATTTAGGTTAGCAATTCGTTTTAAATTGGTTTCTTATTTTCTTTCCCTATTTTTTTTTACCTAATTCAAAAAGGGTTGGGTCTTTACCCATGTTCAGCCTAGGTCCCGCAGCGGCTGCCTAGGCTGAACATGGGTAAAGACGGGGCTGGTTCTTAAGAATATCTAAAATAAATTTGTTAGGAACCATTACAGTATCTTCACCACAAGATTCTTTTTTTTCTCCTTGAAAATGTTTTATCACCTCAGTTTTGTAACTGAATCACAGTAACACAATATATAGTCCTATTGTGTATGTTTCTTCTCCTTTTAGTAAACTTGGTACTGATGCTCATTTTCAACCCGCTGTTCATAGTCACTCTTGTTGACAGTACATGTTGTAAAATTGTAGCTGATATAAAATATTTAAAACCTTTAAAATAGACAGATGAGCATGAGTATCATTTTCACTAACAAATCTTGTCCCTGTGAAGTGCATACAAGTTTCCAA